ATTCAGGTAGTTTGAGTCGTTTTGGTCTTCTGAGTTAGTTGAATTGGTTTACCTGAGAAGGTTGGTCGTCTAATTTAGGTGGGTATTTGAATCAGCTGAGCATGATCTGATTCAGGTGGTTGATTAGATTCAGGTTAGTTATCTGAGTCAGAATGTCGTTTCACTCAGTTAATACCATTCCTTCGAAGATCATTTATATAGGTTCGTCATCTATACAGGCTCGTAATATTTTCCAACTATCCACCACGTTTTGAGACTGTTCCGATAGTTAGTAAGCTTTTTAAGGTATGCCTTTCCATGGAAGACCTAGGGCGCTGCCTATAAGATAATGCAAACGGAACTTTTGCAGCACTTACAAATCAAGCCATACCATGAAGAATTCGCATGGCCAAAGAGTTTCCATGGTAAGACTATGCCTCAACCCAGTGCTTTATTATACCAGTCATCTGATCTCCAACTGCTGTATTCGCTGTGCCAATAAAAAATACACCACCTTGTAAATCATACTTAACAGCTTAAACCTGCGATATTAACATATTTTAGACTTAGTATTGTCTTCCTGTATTTTGGAATAAAATTTGGCCGCCCTAAGGCACAGTACTTAATTGTCTTGGGAGAGGTAAATTGTCAAACTTTTCTCTCTCTCGGGAAAGGTAAATTGAACTGTGTTTTGCGTTAAGGTTAACTAACTTGTTTAAACGGTTTCTTCCGGTACCAGAAAATAATTATGGAAACAATAGTCTACATTTGTCTCAAAAAATATGCACGGATATTTGACAGTGGATCAAGTTTTCATCTTTCACTTTTCGCCCATTATCTGTATTGCACTATGCGTAAGGTTGGATTAACAAGTCTTTTTACAATTACTGTAGCATATTGGCCAGCCCGGATGAGGCGTTCAAAATGCAACGGTGAAAATTATAATAAGAATGATCAACGACACGGTACTACCATATATCTTTCTGATTGTTTCTCTGATAACGTGTTTGTCTAGTGACATATCTGAATATTGATCTGAGCGCGTCATAATCGTGATGATAAGAAGATTAATTAGATCTTTTTCGCGCACAACCTTGGCCAAAAGTGCGTTATATTCCACCTGGGACCAAATCTTATAGGACCACAGCAAACGTCTAACTGAAAAATCACATGGCAGTTTTCCCAAAAAGATATTAGAAGCTAGGTAACACAGCTGAATTTGTCTGGTTTTCCAACCTGTTTCAACTTTCTGCACGAAACCACATTAAAAATCTTATCATCAGCTTATTGAATTTTGTTTTCTTATATTTTCGCTCTTGAAAAATGACTGACTAGTCGTCTTAAAGTCCTCGATACAACATCTTGTAGTCTGTTAAATAAACAATTGCCTGGCGTTTTTTTTATTATTGTTGATTCTTAAATGAAATATTACCTCAACATCATCTGTTAAAGAGCGAATTGAAGGAGATTTGATTCAGGTTTGCTGTAACTTCTGCCACGACTGTTTTTCTCCTCAGAGCTATCGCGATGCGGGTTCTTTCACTAGAACATTTCAAGCGAGGGATCGTTTCCAACGAAATTTTTCATTGCGGATTGATGTTCATCGGAATCGTAATACTACAAGCTTGGCCGAATGAAGGCACCTCGCAGAGCAAGACATCACAATCAAGTACGTATAGTCATAAGACACGGTTTTGCAAGCAACAAAGATATAAAAACATTTGGCCAAAGAATAGTTCCTGTCAACGTGTTTTTTGTCAGTTCTGTATCTTTATTCCATCACTCACTCAGAAACATTGTCCATGGAAACATTTTTCACGAGACGTTTAATATTATAGATGATTAGTTTGTTTTAAATTAAAACATCGCAAAATATATCTCTGAGTAGGATTTTTAACTTTTCAACTAAAGAAAACAGGCTAAATATCAAAGAGAATCCAACCGAAAAGAAACTAATAAATTTTTCACAAAGTATTGTTAATTGACTTCAAAGCAAAGCTAGTGCTGTTAACATACTCTAACGTCACCATGGTTTTAAGGACTGCAAACGACGGTTTCAAGTACTGTCTTCAAAGTTTTGAGCCAATGTATTACGGCCTTCCCTATAATCACTACTTCGACATGGCAGAATTTTTAATGTCGTAGTCCTGTGCTACTTACGTCATGCAACGTGTTTGTTCTTCTAGAGGATCTCACACAGAGTTCATAAATCAGTGATATAGCAACCCTTATTGCCTTAAGTGAAGAAATAGTTACCAAATTTATTTTGCCAGGGCTCTGGACTTTTTGTGAAGTCGGTAAACAGCTTGTTGCATATAGGCGGGAGTGTCTCTTAAGGAACTGGCTGCATGAGCTGTGTTTTATGATTAAACCGATATGGCCATAGCAGTTTACTTGCTTGAGCGCCCCTTCTAGTACGATGGCTAAATAAAAAATAGTGGTTAAGGAGTAAACTAGCGACTGTTAATGCCGCAAGATTAATAGGATGGTAGAGACTTAAGGACTTCTCGTGAAATGAGCAGCAGGAACCACCCGCTATGTAGGCTGCTAATTTATTGCTTGACGTCTCCACTAAATGACTATCTGTTCTTTTTTTTTTTGCACAGATACAACGGCATTGTATCAGTATGAACCAGTAGGTTGTTTCAAAGATAAAAGAAATCGACGCGTTCTGCCAGTAGAAGTCAAAACGTTCTCTGACATGATCAACGAATCAGATTTGGCCAGTTCATACGCAGCCATAATTCACGCGTGTGCTACCGAAGTGTACAAGAACGATTTCTGGTATTTTGGCGTGGAATATCGCCACCAGTGCTGGAGTGGGGTGAACGGTGCCATGACGTACAACCGACATGGCCGATCCGACAATTGTTTATCGAATTATGGCGTGGGAGCTACATGGACCATATTTGTTTACCGCTTTGTTGAAGGTAATTAAAGTACCAGTTCATCACTTCACCGGAAATTTAGCGCTCTGACAAGAAGTCATGGATGCCGGTTAGCCAGATATTTAGATTTTTTGCCATCTGAGATTAGTTGTTTCATTTATTTTATCGGCGGCCGAAAACTGTCGTTCAACCTATTTCAGGTTTGTTATTTTGTTTTTCGAATCAGTGTTATATTATAGTGTTGATTGATCTGGAAAATTCAAATAAGATAACAATTTTCTTGCGATTTGTTGTAAAAAAAATTAAACCTTTTCATTTTGCTAACTAATATTATGTAGGATTATTAGCGTTTGGGTCCGCAACAACTGATCTAAATATCAGCTTCCGTTAGTTCTAAACATTTGTATCAAAACTGGTATTACGCAACTGCCATGTTGAGGCTCTTGGCTTCTCCAGTCTATTGGATTGGAACGCTCAATAAAAACCGTAAGCATTTTTATCGGAACCGTGATTTGTTTTTGTACAAAAAACTCTATTTTAGAGCATAGGCCGATCAATTTTCTCTACAATCCAAAACACTAACTGTTTATACAGCATTTTTGTTATGGATTATTTCTTCTAATCATCAGTGAATGGCAGTTGGAGCCAGTGGTCGCCATGGCAACCATGCAGCGTGACGTGTGGAGGGGGAAACAGGACACGTGCCCGCACTTGCTCTAATCCAGCGCCAAAATGGAACGGTATGGATTGCCCAGGTACAAATATCTCCACAGAGAGCTGCAATTTGCACAAATGTAAAGGTAGGTCACTGAAACTCTAAACGTCAACAGTTTATACACTTTTAAAGCTTTTTTGCGATGAATTGTTTCTTCTAATCATCAGTGAATGGCAGCTGGAGCCAGTGGTCGCAATGGCAGCCATGCAGCGTGACGTGCGGAGGGGGAAATAGGACACGTACTCGCACATGCTCTAATCCAGCGCCAAAATATAATGGACAGGGTTGCCCTGGGACAAATATCTCCACAGAGAGCTGCAGTTTACAAAAATGTAGAGGTACTAGATGTCTTTATTTGAAAGTATTTTCCTTAAAATGATTCCGCTTTTTTTGATGCTCTGGTATGTTCCTTGCTTTTCATTCCCAAGCTGAGTTAGTTTCTGATTTTTTTTTCTAATTATTGCCTGGGCGCCCCTTTTCGACCATGAGAAATGTTTATACGAAGAGGTAAACGAGCGACAATGCCACGAGATAAATGGTATGGTGGAGACCTCTTCTCGCGAATGGCGCGGCAAAAGCCACAGGATATAAATCAGCAACCTGCATAGCTGGACTTCTCTACAAAATGATTTTGTGGTCTTTACTACACAGATACAACGGCACTGCATCCGTATGAACCAGTCGGTTGTTTCAAAGATAAAAGATATCCACGCGCTCTACCATTATCAATCGGAAAGTACTCTGTCAACGAGACAGATTTGGCCAATTCATTCGCCGACATAATTCACGCGTGTGCTACTAAAGTGTATGAGAATGGCTTCTGGTATTTTGGTGTGGAATATCGCCACGAGTGCTGGACTGGAGTGCACGGTAACATAACATACAACAGATATGGGCGATCCGGCAAATGTTTATCGAATTATAGCGTGGGATCTGAATGGACCATATTTGTTTACCGCTTTGTTGAAGGTTAGTTACCAGTTAATCACTTAACAGGGTATGCGGTGAGAGTCTGCGAGCTAGTATCACGGATGCGTAATTAAGAGCATGCCATATAATGGTTCCCATGCTTCTTCACATGAAGATTCAAAACGCTAGTTCATAGGTGAATGTTGCTGCTTTGTTAAATGATCAAAGATTTTTCTACGGTTCAAATTACTGTTGCATTTTAATCAGATATTTATTTTTTTGCCATCTGAAATAAGCTTTTCATTTCTTTTACCGATTTTGCCAAGAACTTTCTGTGTTTAACCTATTTCAGGTTTGTTTTATCTTTCAAATCAGTGTTAGCTTGATCTGTCTGGCAAATTTTAAGAAGAAAGCAATTTTCTTGCGATCTGTTTTAACACAAATTTAAACGCTTGTACTTCGCTAACTACTACTGAATATGTAGGATTATGCGTTTGGGTCCCCAGCCAACTGATCTAAATATTAATTTCCGTTAGTTTTGAACATTTGTAATCTGGTATTAAGCACCAGCCTTGATGGGGCTCTTGTCTTCTCCAATTCATTGGATTGGGATATTTAACAAAAACTCTAAGCCTTTTTGTCGTGAACCGAAAAGTCTTTTTGTACAAAACGCCATCTTACAACGCCGTTTTAGAGCATAGGCGGATCACTTTTTAAAAATTCAAAAATTTTGCAGTTTATACACTTTTGAAGCTTGCATGTCATGGATTGTTTCTTCTAATAATCAGTGAATGGCGGTTGGAGTCAGTGGTCATCATGGCAACCATGCAACGCGACATGTGGAAGAGGACACAGGACACGTGCTCGCATATGCTCTAATCCAGCACCAAAATGGAACGGAAAGGATTGTCCTGGGACAGATATCTCCACAGAGAGCTGCAATTTGCACAAATGTAAAGGTAGATAGATTCCTTTATTTGATGATTTTTCTCTAAATTGATTCTGGCTTATTTTGACGCTCTAGTGTGTTCTTTGCTTTTCACTTGGAGCTGAGTTAAATCTTGATTATTAAGGCGACTTTAAGGCTGAAGCATACACTCGACCCTCCTTGCGACGGACACCAAAGAGGCAGAAGTGAGAGTTTGCATCATGGAGGTGTCCGTGAGGCGAGGTTCCACCCGAAAGTGCTATTTAAAATGCTTACCAGAATGTTATTAAGACGTAATGTCAAGAAATGATGAATTGATATAAGCTATAGCGTTTGTTGTTGATATAAGCTATAGCGTAAGTTTTTGTACAATCAGTGTGTTTATTATATTAATATTTGTATCTTTCATGTTGTTTACGACTAAGGAATATTGATAGTACTATTAAATATAGTGAAATTCATATTCGATATTGAGTCGCAGAGATAAATTAATTTTAAGCAGGGTGTTGTCGTATTTCGTTCTTTATTGAATTCAGATTCTACAGGAGATGATATTCTCTACAACAATGAGACTTATCATGGTCAGGGCACTGGGGAATCCTCTCTGCCGCTGGTAGCGATGATTGTGGGCGGCTCGCTCTTGGCTTTGCTATGTTTAAGTGGAATATTATGGTTTGCTTTTAGACATCGTAGAAAGAGTCTGTGAGTATTTTATTTTTCACTGATTATTTATTGTTACTTTTATATTTTTAATTTGAAGCGGTGAGTAAGAAAAATAATCTTCATCGATTATAGTTAATTGTGCGTCCAGTTCATTTAATAATAAAAAAAAGGAACCCAGGTGTTATTTAAGATAAATGTAAGAACGTATGTAAATTGTAGGTAACTTGTAGGTGAATTGTGTGACGCATAAACTTGTTGCAACACGATAAACAATGGTCCTTTTTCGGCGATACGGCGGCTGGGATGCTTATGCTTGTCCCCTGAGCATCCCATAATAGCTATTTAAAACAATAGAATTCAAAATGGTCACCTTATCGCCGAAAAGGACCATTTGAGGCTGTGGTCTAGACCACATGAAAGTAGTACCTATAGATATTACACCGCTTTCAGTGTGCATAGCGACTATCTTTCGACATGCCTTCTCTCGACATGCCACGTCAAAAATGTAAGCAGAACTGACTTCTTTACGGTCGAACTCGACTTTTAGTCAAGAAAGATGGACTTATTTGACATCAAACTAAGGCTAGGAGTGTCAAGAAAACATTCTGTGAGAAATAAATAGACTGTTTTGAATGTTTATTTACATCTTTCGAATATTAATTGAGCGGTAGCGGCCCAATTCTACCGTAAGTCACCATTGAGAGCCCATCGACTACAATAAAATCATTTGAATTATCCTGTAAATCGTGTTTAAAATTCTTATCAGGTCGGACTCAATTTACTGTTGAAATTTCGCATGGACGACTTCACAGAAGGAAATTCAAGAAAACCACAAATATAAAGATTCTTATACATGTATCCATGTTTTCAGATCCAATTCAGAACTCTTCCAGGATCCGTGGGAAATCCTATTTGATGAAATTTCCTTGAATAGGATAATTGGAGAAGGGGCTTTCGGGAAAGTATACAGTGGCAGGCTTATGAAGCAAACTATGGAGGTTGGAAAGGGACGGATTTCTTCGCAGCGTAAAACGGATAAGGAACAGCAGGAAATGAAGATGGGCCTGGCCGTTGCTGTGAAAATGTTGCAAAGTATGAATTGCTTATGTCAGCTTTTTCTAACCTACAAAATAGCTGTATACAGCTTTGGTCTTCTCCTACGAAGACGTTACAGACATATTGGCATCTAAGTGTGCGTACACACTGTATATAAACTAGCAATATCTAAACATCTTTCCGTCTACACATGTGCTATGTTATCTAAAATTTATAAGCTCGCGCTCAATTACAGGGTTAAAATATAATGATATATTTTCTGAGAGATGAATTATTCTCGAAGCCCTCAAAAGCTTGAAAAAAGGGCGGGAAAATCTGGCGGGAAAGGCATTGGTGTTGGGGTTCTGATTAATTCTTATTGGCTCAAACGATCTGCGACCTGTGTGGTAACAGCATAGCGGATGAGGGTCTTCAAAAAGCCACTCAAATCTTTACCTACGCAAAATGAAAAGTCACAAATAGAGAGATATTTAGATGAAAGTTATAGAGGGGCCCTCACTCAGGATGAATAATGTATATAAAAAAGATCAAAAGTATATAAAAAAACGCAGTCTTCAACGGGCGAAATGGCGCTAAAAGTTCTAAAACATATATAGTGTGATAAAATACAACAGAATTAAATACGACAAAATACAATAGATTAAAATCGTGGAATAAAAGAAATATAATTTTGTTTCAAATTTTTGCGTACATTTGTGTCCTTGCTAAATATCCTTTTCTAAAAGATTGCCACGACAAGTGCTTTTTGTTTGTTTGTTTGTTTTTTTGCTTGTTTTTTCTCTATTAGATGGTGCCACGGAAGAACAAATGCAAGAATTCCTAGAGGAAATAATGCTTATGAAACAAATCGGATATCACCAGAACATATTGAATTTATTGGCCTGCTGTACTATGACAAATCCCATGTTCCTTGTAGTCGAGTTTGCAAAGAATGGGGATTTACTTCAATACCTCAGGAAAAGAAGAGAGCAGGTACAATAAGATTTAAAACATCTACTTACTAGCAGCTTCGTACTGCCCTCACTCAATATTCTTTAAGTTCGGAAAATTTGAAAACATAAGCCAGTTAGAAACATATAGCTTCGTTGAACGGTTACAGAAAAATAGATCCGATCCCTCAGATTGTGTACATGTTTTGCTTCTTCAAGTTGTTTTGGGTTTCCTTCTCTGCCTGGTAGTTTGATCATAGTTTTTTCGGAAAACGCAAAAGACATCACAAACAATTTATTTCCCTAAGCACGTTACATACCAAAATTTTATAAATTCGAAAAATTATCGCCCGTGTAATTTTGAAAGGTTGCCTTAGCTATCACAATTTGCCAGTATCCATTACATATACTACTTTTAGGTAGAGAGAGAGAGAGAGAGAGAGAGAGA